CCCCAAAACCCCAAAACCCCAAAACCCCTTTAACTTTTATAATAATTGATCCAAAATAAAATGTCAAATTGCTCAACAACTAAAAATAGAGAGGCTCACATCATCGATTGGATCTACGATCAGCAAAAGATTCTGTCATTTCAAAAGTAATTTACACTATAAAATATAGATACGAAAACTTCCTCAAGTAAACCCAGCCAATAAATATAGAAATAACAGTCCAGCCCACACAAAGAAGCAATCAGTCACTTCGGGAGCACAGTTCACCAAACAGTTCAAATTTCCTAAAGTATTTTTCCATTTATTTTTAGAGTTGCATGAAGAAAAGCTTTGCCATCCAGAGACCTTACAGAGGTTCCATAAATGAACTAGAATTCAACAGTAGAATGTTCATGGATTATAAATAACCAAAAGTTATTTAGAAAATTTGAACCAAATAGCCAGGACACAACCCCAACTCAAAGGAAAATAAAATGGAAGAAAAACAAAGCCAGATTCAACATAGAAAAAGAAAAAGATCGCTTACTATCTGAAATCAAAAAGGGAAAAGAAGAACTCAAATTAGTAAATATTGATATCAGCCCAAAAAGAGAACATAACACAGAAGGAAAATTACCAAAAGTTCAACCAAAGGTTAAGCAAGTTCTTAACAATATGGAGCATAACGATTCAAGGCTTTACAGCTTAAAGGTCAAGTCTACAAGGAAGAATAAAGCTGTCATCACTAATCTTGCATTATCCAGAAATGTTTAAAAATAAAATCCGAACTCTTAGAAAGAGAAACGGTTGGAAAAGCCAAGCCTGCTCTAACAACACTGTACTTATAATTTAACTTCAGTCTAGAGAAAACTCTTCTTCAAAAAAGGAGACTCCTCAAGCAAGCAGAGAAAACTCTAGGAACTCACAATTACCAGCTCTGAACACCTCGCACTCAATGGTTTCAAGCATCATAAGCAACTGTAACAGTTCACAAGGAAACTTAGAATCCACTCTGTCCGAATACCGGAAGCACAAAGTGAGAGAAGCCATTCTTTACGACAAGTAAGCACATTGCTTCACTTTAGTCTACACAAGTCGATGCAAATAGGTAAAACTGTCTCTAAACCCTAGTCGACCAGTTAGATAACTTTCCTATCAAGAGCAAGTAAGCCAACCAGTAATATATGTGTAGGGGCATTCAAGGCATGTCGAGGATCTACAACCATATTAGAGACAAGATCACAGACGACACTCAAGACATGGCAGAGGTAGGCTGTTCGGGTATCTTCTAGGTTGTTTATCAGTACAGACATAGGTAATAGCCATATTTTATCAATTATTTCTAAGAGGGAAGGGGTTTTGGGGTTTTGGGGTTTTGGGG